ATAATACTAACGTATTCCTTTTTCTAATATTGTACTGGCTAATCGCCTCTTATAACGGTTTCATGTTGTTCACATATGGAAATATGCACATAACTCAAACTTAAAATATCAAATAAAGATTGTTTTTTCTTATTTCACATGGCAGGAAATCATACTGCTGTATCCTTTACAGTTAATAGATTATTTTTTAACTACGGAGTTACTTAAGCCCAATGCGGGTAATCAATAGAATGCCCCCAGCTGAGCTTGCAAAAATATAGTTGCCTATGTGTACTATGCTCTTCTATTCAAAAACCGACGCCTTTAGAACAAAAGTTCAGATAAGACTGGAGCCAACAGGTAAACAGTGTCTGGTCTAACTGTCACCTCCGGGTGATAAGTACTGACCCTTTGAACATTACCCTCTCAGGTCACATGATGTGTCGTAGGTGTAGCCGAATCATCCAAAAACTAGCTATAGGAAACTGTTAAAGCATATCTAGATTGTGGCAACGTACTAACTTTAACTACCGATTCCTTCTTTACTTCATTTCAAAATCTTCTATTACAACATTACTGTGTAGGAAAATTGTCAAGTTTTCAAAGATTTCGTAAAATGAACACTTATCACTAAAGCAAGGAACTTGCGAGATTAATTCAAGCCTGTTTTTTAAAATGTTTTTAATAATAACAACATGAACGTAAAAGGTACAACGCATTACTTAGAGAAAGATAATGTTCTAATACGGTGTGAAACGTTATTCTTTGGCATTATTCTATGTGGTTGATCATAATTTGTCCACTGTTACTCTGTAACGAACTGAATCATGTATGATCTGTGGACAAAATATATTTTCGGTTTTTACTTCAAACTGGTCATTATCCCTCTATTGATACTCAAAAGATAAGTACAAGTAATAAAAATTCCGTAGATGTTTATATGTAAGGTTTAATAACTAAATAGTATCGCTATCCATTACTTGTCTATAGTTTTCTTGATTATCTATAACTCGTAAACTAATATTCAAATTAAAGGCATGTCCACTTATATTCTATTTGCATCAAAAGTACTTCTATTTCATCTTCCTGATCCTACATCACGTATTGTGTAATACACATATCGCGAGATGTAATATTTAATTAGGAGAAATACATTCTTACTGTATTCGTCCAGTATACACCCGCTGTTCTTCAAAAATTATCATCCTTTATCTAAAATACATTAATCTCAAGCACATACAATCTGCATCTTTAATACCCTCTTCTTCATAATTGGCCACAGTTCGTCATTTAGCTGTTCATTCATGAAGGAGATGGAAGTCATCAAATATTACCTGTAACTAATTGATTATTCATATTCTCCATTACCAGGATAGCGTTATTTCGGTTGGACATGCTGTAATAAGTATATTCACACCCAAAGAAAAACCTGGAGTAAAAAGATGGGTTTAAGGTGAAAAACCTCTGACATTAGAAACATTATGCAGAATTTTAGATATTCTATCATATCAACAGTGTTAACACGTTATTCACAACAAGTGGGAGTATCTGTGAATAACGAATGTTTGTACTGAACACTATGCCGGATATTCTATCATATCAACAGTGTTAACACGTTATTCACAACAAGTGGGAGTATCTGTGAATTACGAACGTTTGTACTGAACACTATGCCGGATATTCTATCATATCAACAGTGTTAACACGTTATTCACAACACACTTGTATCTGTGAATTACGAATGTTTGTACTGAACACTATGCCGGATATTCTATCATATCAACAGTGTTAACACGTTATTCACAACAAGTGGGAGTATCTGTGAATTACGAATGTTTGTACTGAACACTATGCCGGATATTCTGAGTCTACCGTAACGGAAACTTGAGGTAAAGAAAATAACTTATTTTTTAGATAGAATAATCCAAAACTTGTAAACCACACCCGGCTAAAGAAATCCTTGTGATTTTAAGATAATTGAACAGTAATTTACTTCCGATTTTTGTCCCTACTTGAGGTGACAGTTTTATAAATCCTTTATAATATATCTTAATAATATTCACATTTTAACTGCTTCAATTATTGTATATTAAGCTGCAAGGTTCTAGATACAGTATACTAAAATAAACACGGGTACTCTAAACGGTGTTTACCACCTTAATTAAATATACATTAATGAATGTGTAGAATTACAAAAATAAATCCCAACACCTGACATCTTACCGAACTACATCGTAGTAAATAGTATGAAAATAACTGAATTTCCCGTACATCTACTATTACATTAAAATATACATATGTATATTTGTGTGTACATGTTTTTAGTTATTTTGCTATATCAATCTTTAAAGTGTTGTACCATTATTTGTTTGAGCAGTTGTCTACGTTTCATCTAAAATGTATTTCAGTATTCACTAGAAAGTCCTGTAAAATAAAGATTGCTGGGTTTTAATGAATTTTCTGTAATGTACAAGAATAGAATTTCAATTTGTAAATAGTAATTTTGCAAGGTGGTTATTACAGAGAAAATGTTGGCTTGCTGAAAGTAGGTTAATTTGTTCTGAAAACTGATATTAAATCTGAAATTTTTAACCTTGCAGCAACATGTTGAGGACATATAATATGGTAAATATATTAACTTTACATCCTTCTTTGACTTTCTTGTTATTGTGTTTTATTTGAATCCGGTGAATTTATATGGATCCCTTCACATTGTATTATATTACTGAACTGTTAACCTTACGCTTTTGTGTGATGTATTAGTTGTTTATTATATAATTATACCTTTTGTGTTATCTATTGATGCTGTGATTTATGGTTAAAATGTCAACCTAATAATTTCATGTGGATTCCTGTGGTTGTGTTAGGGGACTTAAAATGTTAATATTAATTCTTCGTGTGATTTCTTGCTGTTGAGTTGTGTGAATAGAATGTTAATCTTACGCTATTTTGTGGGCGTTTAAAGTTTTATTATAATTAAAGTGTTAATAATAAGTATATAGTTGTCTTCTTCACTAGAACGAGCTTGCTGCTAAATATAAATATCATTAACAATAAACAATCCCACGTTTTGTTCAATTATATACTATATGATAAAAACTGTTTGGTTAATTGCAGACTCCAGGTTAACGCTTAATGGAAACAAATCTAGTATTATTAGAATGAAAAATATGGTTACAAAAAGCTCTATTGAATTGAACCGTTTCGTTCGTTAATTTCATTTTACATTTTTAAAGAACCAGGCTACGTCAGTTATTTGTATGAAAATTCAAATAACTATTCTCAAACCAATAAAATATAGTTTATTGAAACTGACAGCTTTTTTTGGATACAAAAATCCTCAATAAACGAATTTTCTTTGATACAGACACTTATCACTAAAACACGTTTATATCTGATTTATATTGTTCTCCATGCTTTAATTTGTTTCTTAAATAATTTTAATTGGTAGTACGTAATTTCAACGAACCAGTAAAGTATCTTGTCTTTTTAGCGTATTAAGTAAATAATAAACACACTCAACAATACATCTCATTATATAAAGAGATATGTATGACACGAACCTGTTACATCACGTGGAAATAGGTTCACTACAAATATAACATACTGAGTTCTAAAATATTATCTCATTTTTCACATTATTTTCATTATTTTGAAACATAGTTCTTAGAGAATTATACTTGATATAAGCATGGATTATATTGCGCTGCTAATATTGTACATATTTTATACTGAAAAATATCTTAGTGATTTGTACAATTTAAATCACCAAATACGTTGAATGATTTCAGAAATTACAGCGCACACTAGGTAAATACTCTCTCTATATATGGATATATATATATTGCATTACCGTGATCGGTCAATGTTGTCAACTTATTGTAACGACGGATAATGTCTGTGGTAATAGCACCCAAATGTGTTGGGGATATTCCATCTATCAGACAATATCCAAACGGCGATGTCTATCTAGTCAGCCGTCATGGAAAATCATAAAAAATCAAATAAAGGTACGAAGATGAGTGCTTACACCCACAATGTATCTGCTTCTATTGCCTTTTACTGTCTATAGCCAGTTGTGGGAAAACAGTTAGCCTTAACTTTCTTAAAGTAGAAATGAATTGAAATGAAGCCACCCTAATATTTCTACTAATTAAACTCCCAATCTCCACCCTTACAAAAAGATATTCAATAGAACTATAAGATATTAAATATACCTATAAGATATTGAATAGAGCTATAAGATATTAAATATACCTATAAGATATTGAATAGAGCTATAAGATATTAAATATAACTACAAGATATTAAATATAACTATAAGATATTAAATATAACTATCAAATATTAAATATAACTATAAGATATTAAGTATACCTATAAGATATTAAATAGAGCTATAAGATATTAAATATAACTATAAGATATTAAATATACCTATAAGATATTAAATAGAGCTATAAGATATTAAATATAACTATAAGATATTAAATATACCTATAAGATATTAAATAGAGCTATAAGATATTAAA